ATAGTCCTTGAATTACCACTACAATTGGGACTAGAATTTTTCAGTTGCTAAGTAAGGTGGTTGTTCATTGAGGGATGCCTGATTTTACAACTTTGTTTGCCATGCTTGTTAAGTTGTTAAGTGAATCATGCACCTGTGAACTGAATCCAGCTTCCCCCATTGACTTTGCTACTTGGAAACCAGCTGGGAAGATTGCAAATGGTGATCACATGACCCTAGAGCGCTGCAATTATTGTAAATAAATGCTGGTTGCCAAGCATCCAAATTTTGATCCATCACTCTAGGGATGCTGCCACAGTTGTAAGTGTTAAGTATTGGTTATAAATCACTTTATAGTGCTATTGTAATTTGGTCACTAAACAAATGGTTGTAAGGCAAGGACTCCTTTTTTCTGGAGGTATAGGAATATTGATTCTCTACTAAGTTTGATGTACTTTTTCATTTTGTACATCAGGCAAACTCCTTTGATTTTCTTTTTTTATTTCTTTTTTTATTTCCCTTTCCACTTAATCCAATAATATAGCCTCTTTCATTTTTGCCTTCGCCTCTGTTATCCTTTGTTTGTCTCCTTTTTTCCTCATCAAAGAAATGAAACAATTCCCCTCTTAGGGACTCTTGTGTTTTAATAGACTAGAACCCTGGGATAACAAAAGCTGAGTCTCTGTTACATCTTGTAATTATCATTTATAGTTAGAATAGAAACTATTGATTTAGTCATTTGACCATAATCAAAATATGAAACTAACACAGACATACAAATGGATGCAAAGAAAACAATAGGACCTGTCATAGTTAAATCATTACCCTTATGGTTAATTCAAGCTGATCTAAATATTCTGTCCTCTTCAAGATGGTCTTTGAAATAAAAGAGTGCAGTCTTGCTAGTGATGTGTAGGTTTCTTCCCTGCAAAAAGTAAATACAGTTTCTCCCAAGTGTCCCAGGATTTTTTAGTTTTTAAGTAAGAATCTACGCAAGCGGCTCTTCCTTCAGAGTACAGTTTGAAGTCTAAAAGAATATATGATATCCAATATGTTCAGTGGCTGGTGCTCCACAAATGCAGCCTTTTTACAAATTAACTTTATGAAATTTCCATGTTTTATCATGGAGTCTAATTATTCAAAAGGAGGTCTAGAAAAATCCAGGTTTCCTCCATAACTCCTGTTTTCTTGACTATCCATGAGTTCAATCTTTGTAAACAGCAATGGTTCATGCCCCACATTTCCTAGTCATACCACAACTAACTGTAATGACCTACTACATATTGACTTTACAGAAGATAACATAGAAAAGGCACTACGAAACCTAAAATCATCCCTATCTTGGCCCCGAAGGATTATGTGCATACTTCTTAAAAAAGCTCTCCTCTGCCATAGCGGAACCCCTAAGCATTATATAGAGATATCATTCAGAACCAACTCCTTATCAAACTTATGGTCCTTGGCTACGGTCTTCCCTATCTTCAAAAAAGGTGACCCCAGCCTTTTTGAAAACTACAGACCAATTTCATTGTGTTGTGTGACGTGCAAAGTCAGGGAATCAATCATTAACCAATTCATCACTCTCCACTTAGAGTCAAACAACCTACTCTCCAAAAAACAATTTGGTTTCAGGAAAAAATTGTCCTGCAATCTACAACTCCTACACTGCAAAAACATATGGACTACTCTACTTGACCAGGTAAAGCTATAGACGCAATTTACATAGACTTCTGCAAAGCCTCTGATTCAGTGGTACACGACAAACTGCTGTTAAAACTAAACTCTTATGGCATTTCCGGATTCCTGAATAAGTGGATTACTGCATTCCTGTCAAACAGGCAATAAATAGTAAAACTAGGGAGCGCTATATCAAACCCTGCTCAAGTTAACAGCGGTGCCCCCCAAGGCAGCGTTCTAGCACCCACATTCTTTATATTCTATATAAATGACCTTTGCTATCACCTTATAAACAACTGCATCCTCTTTGCGGATGACATAAAAATATTTAACACCACTGACAATGCTACTATTTTTCAAAGTGACCTTGATTACGTATCTGAATGGTCAATCATCTGGCAAATCCAAATCTCGACCAACAAATGCTCTGTCCTACATATTGGTAAAAAAAATCAGTACACCAAATACAAACTAGATGGATATGACCTCATTGATGATCCTCACTCTGTCAAGGACCTTGGAGTTCTCATATCAAATGACCTAAGCACCAGAGCTCACTGTAACAGCATTGCCAAAAAGGCATTAAGAGTTGTAAATCTAATCTTACAAAGCTTCTTCTCCAGAAATATCGAATTGCTAACTAGAGCATACAAAACTTTAGCCAGACCAATACTTGAATACAGCTCATCAGTCTGGAATCCACACTGCATATCAGATATTAATACAATCGAGTGAGTCCAGAAGTATTTCACAAGAAGAGTACTACACTCCTCTGCTCACAACAAATACCCTCTATCACCAGGCTTGAGATTCTGGGCTTGGACAACCTTGAACTACTCTGCCTACAGTTAGACTTAAGCGTAGCACACAAAATTATTTGCTACAATGTCCTACCAGTCAATGACTACTTCAGCTTCAACCGCAACAATACAAGAGCACACAACAGATACAAACTCAATGTAAACCGCTTCAAGCTTGATTGCAGAAAGTACGACTTCATCAACAGGTCAACAGGTCAATGCCTGGAATGCACTACCTGACTCTATTGTTACATCCTCTAACCCCCAGTCCTTTAAGCTCAAACTTTAACCTCACTATTGACCTTACCCCATTCCTAAGACGTCTGTAAGGGGTGTGCATAAGTGCACCATTGTGCCTACCGTCCCTGTCCTATTGTCCCCATTTATTCGTACCTATTTCCTGTATTCTTACTCATGTTTATACTTATATCTATTACCTTGTAAGCGATTGACAATAAATAAATAAATAAATAAATAAATAAATAAATAAATAAATATTTATTCTTGGGAGTCTTCCCCAACAGCAAAGTTCAGAGGTATCAATATCCTTCCATTCCTGCATCTTAAAGAACAGTTTTTGCTTCCATAGGATGTTACAAGGAATACTGTGCCTTGCACAATCCTGTTCTTGGTAGAATTGACACACCATGGCATTTGAATATCTTTTCCAAGGCCTTCGTGGCTGCTCTATCAAATGCTCATCCTATGGCATATTTCTTGACTACAAGAATTCCTTTTTTCTTGATGGTTGATCCTAAATGGCAGAATCTGTCTTCCACTTCAGTATCTTCATTGTCAATTCTAAAGCTGGTTGTTCTACCTGTTGTTATTAGTTTGGTCTTCTTTATATTTCATTTTAGTCTCATTTTTTTCCACTGTGCTTTTTTATTTTTAATACTAGGACTTGAAGATCATTTGCATTTTCAGCTATTAGGATAATCAGCATAGTACAAATTATTGATCTTCTCTTCTCTTCTTCCTGCACATCTTCTTCCAATCCAAATTCCCTTAATATGTATTCAGCATATAGTTTGTCTTCGATTTACAACAGTTCATTTAATGAGTGTTCAAAGTTACAATGGCACTGAAAAAAGTGACTTAGGACTATTTTTTCACACTTACGACAGTTGCAGTATCCCCATGGTCACATCATCAAAATTCATATGCTTGGCAACTAGCTCGTATTTATGACTATTACACAGTGTCCCGGAGTCATGTGATTTCCTTTTGTGATCTTCTGACAAGCAAAATCCAGAATCACTTAGCAATCATGTTACTAACTTAAATACAGTGATTCACTTAACAAACATGGCAAGAAAAGTCGTAAAATGGGGCCCGATGCACTTAACAAATTTTTACTTAGCAACCTAAATTTTGGGCTCAATTGTGTTCGTAACTCGAGTACTACAAGTTAAATAAGGGGAGAATATGCAGCCTTGTCAAACTCCTTTGTCAACCTGGAAGCTAGTCTGTTTCTTGTCCATACATGGGTTCCTGACCTGTGGTTGTCAGGTTAGCCAAGGTGGTTATATTGATGCGAATCACCTGTGAGACAGACTGCAGGTGCTTGATCAATTGATGATATACTTGTTAAGAGATTTTGTGATCTTTTGCTCTATGAGAATTCAGCAGTCTCTTGCTCAACTGTGCTGATAGAATTTCTTTGCTCCAAAACAGCTCATTTGAGATCTGTAGTGGAATACCCTAGGAAGTTAAAATGCTCTCATATTATTTGTCTTTATTTTTTTTGTTTTGATGCCAGACTTCTATTTCTTATTTTACGCAGTCCTACACAGAATCCAAAGGGGCTTTGCTGTTTGTTTACAATTGTAATATTAATTGATAAAGTGCTTGTTTTACTTGTTGTCATATGTAATCTGTATCTGCGTGACTATCTTCCCTTCCCTTCCCTCACCCAGCCCCAATTTAAACCCTACATTAGTCACTCTATGCATCTTAGGAGGTGAGCTGTAGCTCAGAAAAACTTACGCCTTTCAATAAAATGCGTTAGGCTGAAAGCATGCTACCCAAGTCTTTCTGGTTTTTGGCAACCGTAGGCTAACATAGCTCTATTCCTACATTCATCTGCATGTATTTGCAGGCATCTGTATTTGGCAAAATGTTCCTCTCAATATATTGCTTTTGAAGCAGGTGCGAAGCAAGATCAGCTTTTTGAAACAATTAAACCTATTATTCATATGACACTACATCAGTGCTGCAGACCAGCATGCTAGCAAAAGCCTTATGGAATGTGTTACCCCAGCAAATCATGAGACTGTTGCAGGACAATAAACTCTGAAAGTTACATGGTACCAAAATTACATAGGGGGAGATTAATAGCAGTCTCTCTACTGGGAAGCAAAACACCCACATGCACAGGTTAAACATACTGGTGTTAAATATACTCATTTGCAGACAAAATAATTTCATCATTTGAGTTGTGTGCAGCTGAAGAAATAAATAGAATGCCCTAATTTGTAAGTATTTGTCATATGTACCTAATTATTTTTCTCTTTTTCTTCCCTATTTCTCTCTCCATTTTAGGTTTATAGCTAAGCCATGTGCTTTAGGCTTAAAAGTCCAAGCAAATGGACCACAGAAGGCTCAGCCTAATGCTATTCTTGAAAAAGTCTTCACTGCCATCACAAAGGTAAAACGTGTTCCTTAAAATCCTTTTATTTGCTTTGGTCAAATGTAAAGGTTGTTAATCAAAGACAATGTAATTAATTATTAGGAATAGCTGTCTCATTAGCATGTTAATTTGATAGTTTTAGTAATGAGTAATAGAAGTACCCTGCTAATTTCCTCTCACAAATGATCCAAATGCTGCTATTACATAAGATGGGATCTGTGGCTATATTTGTGGCTCTGTGCTAGTGTGAAGGGTGTGCTAACTAATTACCGCAAGACACATTTGACAGGAGTAAGAAAAGAGGAAAAAAGCATTTGGACTGAGTTGACTGGAAAAAAAGATTTACAGGTAGCCCTTAACTTACGACCACAATTGGGACTGAACTCTCAGTCGCTGAGCAAAGTGGTTGTTAAGCAAGATGCCACGTGACCACCTTCACTCAACTACCACAGCCCCAGCACTTCCAGGAAACAAAGGATTTCCCTTCTGCATCCACTTGGGAAAAGTTTTTATTGGGCCTCAGGAGTAGAGTTAAAATCCTGCAGCCCAAGGAAAGGTTTGCCTCCTGTGCATGGAGGGGAGGAGAATGCCTGGGGTGGGGTGGGGGGCAAAATCTCAGCTCCATGCAGAATATGATTCCTTCCGGGGACGCACGGCCTTTTCTCTCTCCAAGGAGCTGCCCTGCTGGGAGGGAATTTCAACACCACACAGAGCTGAGATTCCCCCCAGCAGGCAGTTTTTTCAGTCAGCCTCAAGAGAGGAGAGGAAGGCTTCTCAGCAGGTGGCAACTGCTTGCAAGCTTCCCTGCAGGCTTCCCCAATTACTTTCGGAGGGAGGGTGATAAGTGAGCGCAGAAAATGAAACAACAGACTTGATATTCTGAAGACACATAACTGGCTTTTATTGAGTTAGATACTGCAGTACCGATCACCTGCAACCCACACTGAACACAGTATGAGGAAAAAGGGACACCCTTTCCAGTAAGACCCACATCTTTATACCCATAAATGGTTGCATAAACAGTTAGACAACACATCTTGTTTTTCATATCAAAATTACATAGCATCCCATAGGAAAGTTGTGGGTCTTTCCACATAACTTCCCCCACTTGCCATTGGAAATCCCCCAACATTCTTTCCTTCACATTTATCTTCAGATTCCCTATTATTCAAATATCAGAAGATTATAAGAAGGTCGTTAATATCTCTTAATGTGACTTATAATGTCAAAGCGATCCAGCACATATCTCTAACTTACGCCAAGCACGAAGTTTCGCAACCTTGTATAATTTCTAGCAGAAAACACATTGCATAAATGTTCTGAACTTTAAAAGTTCAGACTGCCAACACAAAATGGCTTCGGTTCGGCTCTTTATATTCTCAAGTGTAATAACCAAATTTTCACCTATAACAGGGAGCCAGCAGAAAATTGCAAATGGTGATCACATGATCATGGGGCACTTGGTAACTGGTTATAAGCATAAACAAGTTGCCAGACACTCAGATCGCATTCATGTGACTGCAAGGAGGGGAGGCCTTACACAGGTGGAAGTGTTTATGGACTATAAAGCACAATTTCCAAGGCCACCATTTCAGAATGGTTGTTAAAAGAGACCGGTCATAAGCCAAGGACTACCTATATTTATAGAACTGATATTGAAAGAAAAGAAGAATGGGAAAAACAATCTGGAAGTTGTATCTGCGTAGTTCAAGAGTCACCTCCATTGGAGCCTGGCTACGCCTGACTATAGCTGCCAGGTGTAACAATTCTGAAATCAATATATGATTACCCAATACAGGCCTAGGATAGTGACAGAGGAGATGTAGCTTAGAGCAGGGGTGTCCAACTCAAGGGCCGGGCTGCATCCAGTTTGAGGGGTGCTTAGATCTGGCCCACAGGGCCTGATTGGAAACAGCAAAGGATCGGCCCATGGTGCCTCTGCCAGCAAAAATGGAGCTCAGGGGGCTGCACGCAGGTCCCCTGCGCCTCATTTTGAGCCGCGATGGCTTCCTGTAGCTCTCTGCCAGTGAAAACAGAGCTCGGGGGGGCTGCACGCACCCACCTGAGCTCCTTTTTCACTGGCAGAGGGTTGCAGGAGGCCCTTCTGGCCAAAACCGGAGTCCATGGGAGCCGCGTGCACTCCTTCTGGGCTCCATTTTTGCTGGCAGAGGGCTAGCAAAACAAACTAAAAACAAAACAAAAGGAGAAATGTTTCTCCTTTTGCATTTGAGCATGCAAGAAGGGACAGGAAAGGAGAAAAGGAAAGAGGAAAGAGGAAAGAAAAAGAAAAAGAAAGAAAGATGGGAAGATACCAAGGAAGGAAAAATAAGGAGAGAGGGGAAGAAAGAAGAAAGGTGAATGAAGTAGGAAGGAAAAAAAGGGAAGGAAGGAAGGAAGGAAGGAAGGAAGGAAGGAAGGAAGCAATCGAAGGAAGGAAAGGAAGGAAGGAAAGAAGGAAGGAAGGAAGGAAGGAAGGAAGGAAGGAAGGAAGGAAGGAGGCAATCGAAAAAAGGAAGGAAGGAGACAATTGAAGGAAGGAAGGAAGGAAGGAAGGAAGATTATAATGAGAGTGAGTGAAGGTCTCATGGAAGTCCTGCTCCCCACAGGTGTCCCCAACATGAGTGACATCAAGCTGGCAACATCCACTATGGCCACACACATCCTGGCCACACCCACCACCACCACCCGCCCTCCAAGGTCAAACACAACCCTGATGTGGCTCTCAATGAAATTGAGTTTGACACTCCTGGCTTAGACAGACAAATATGAAGAGGGCAAATAGTGAACATGATGGGCGGAGGAGTAAAATAAGGCAGGAGTCCCCAATCCCTGGTCTGTGGACTGGCCCCAGTCCGCGACATGCCAGCAACTGTACCATGCAAGCAAGCAAAGTCCCATCCATGGGATCCACTCCACGGAAAAACCTTTCTTCTTGGAACCATTCCCTGATACCCAAAAGGTTGGGGGCCACTGTAGTAAGAGATAGGAGCAAGTCATTGTAGGACAAGAAGGACTGGCACTACATTTCCAATCAGGCACTCCAGTTCCATCTCATGCGGACCAAATTGCTGGACAAGTTGTGCACAGGCCAATGTTTTGGAATGCCAGATCTGTTAATCTAGCCTTTACATCACAACATAAGAGATATGACCAGGGCTTGGATACCTTTCCATTAGTTCGCCAGAAACACCAGCTTGTGCAGGGAGGATGGACAAATTCACAAGTCTTACCAGAGGTGTTTGGGGGATCCAGAAGGTTTTGGGAAGACACCTGGGTTTTGCCTAGTGATCTAGTGGGCAATTCCGTTGAACGTTTCATTGGTCTCTGGAATATGCAGGCAAACAGGTTATTAGATAGAATTGTCCTTCTGTGTTACCTTTCTGTCTTCTGAAATTGTAAGATCAAACTGTCCAAAATTCTGAAGTATTATGGTGTCTGCCTTTGACTATTTCAACTAAGGAACTGAACTGATTTCAAATTCTAAACAAACACCGTCTGTTGTGCTAGACTCCATGCTCATGTTAAGATGCTTCTCAATTCCAATTCCAGTAACTGTTGCTGGAATGTATATAGTGAGTCATCACAATCTAAGGCCAATTCCAAATATGCTGTATCAGAATATTCCATTTATATTTATTTATTCAAATTATACGACCAAGCAATTATATCTGCCAAGCAATTCAGGCTTGCTAGGAAAGATTAAAGCAATAAAAAGGAAAAGGAAGTAAAACATTCCACACCGGAGACACTTGACACACAGATTAATGGGCTTATCTAAAATCTTAGCTCAATTTGAAAGATTGCTTGATTTTGGTTAGCATGTTGTATCAATCCAGCTTTTGTATTTGAAAATTGCATCAATTTCCAGTGTATAGCTAAATTTGATTAAGAATTTTGATTATAAATTAAATTTCTGAGCCAAAAAAGGGCAAAATATTAAAACACAAATATAATTTATGAGAGGATGTATGGAAACAGTTGGTATCAGGGATTGAAATCCAGGGTAATAGTCATTTTATGAACAATTGTCATGGAGTTATAGAATGTTTATCTTTAACAACCATCATAAAATGTTCATAGCATTCACTTCTACCAATAACATTAAATAACCACTGGACCAGCTCTGCCACATATTTGTTGGCAATTTCAAACTTTCAAACTTTCATGACATACTTTATATAGTAATAAATCACTTGTGCCCTTTTTTTTTTTATAAATAATCCCTTTAGTTATAAATAATACCTGGTCAGAAGAACTGTTCTCCTATGAACCACACAAATTATAAAGCAAGAAATTGAAAAGAATACATATTTGGACCCAGTTGCTTGTTAGTTGACTGCCTTCCTTCTCTTTCATGCCTTTCCTACCAGCATATAATTGCCATCGGATAACTTACTGTCAGCCCCTCCAGTTAGTCCAGACAGAAACCCAAAACCTTGAGTACTAATCTACCTTTATATAGACTCTGTAAAAAAATTAGATTTCAGATCTATACAAATAATTTCTTAAACAATGTTCTGTAGCACACCAAGTAAATATACAATTTATCACAAGCTAATTCCAAGATCAAAAGCAAGATGTTGGCAAATTTTTGCTCAGATGTCATAAACAATTGAGAAAAAAAAAAGTAGAAGACTTTTTGGTGTAAGTTTACAGAACATGAGCTTAAGTGAAAAGACATTTAAAGAACATCTGTCTTTTCCTTTAATATATCATTATAAAACTGAACTTTAACATTCCCTGCAACTAAGACTAAATACAAAAATAAACTAAATGTTATACTCATTGTATCACTTTAACAAATCTCACTTCAGAAATGGATGGAATATACCACCGGGTTTTAATGTATTTTAATGTTTAAATGTGTTTAAATATATCAACATGCAACATCACGCACTCCATTATGATTTATAAAAAACTAAATGTACCAGAGTATATAGAATATCTTTTTATTTCTTTGATTTTCCCCCTTTAACAAAATGAATTATAGGTATTTTTAATTTAAAAAAATAGCATTCCACAATCCTGAACATTTTAAGAAACAATAGGAGAGAATATCCAAAACTTACACTTTGAGGTACCCTTTAGGACAATACATAATGATGCTTAAAAATTCAGGTAGTCTTCACAATTGGAGTCACTAACTCTGTCACTAAGTGGTGTGGTCATTAAGCATGTCTCACAACTATGCCAATTTATGATATCACTGCTGACTGTGCTCATTAAGAAAATCACCCACAGTTGTTAAGTGACCATTACTTGCAACTTCCTGAAAGCTTCCCCAGTGGTTTTGCTTGTCAGAATCCAGCTGTGAAAATTGCAAATGGCAGTCCCACATAAGTGCTGGGATGCTGCAACACCCAAAATTTTGAGGACCGGTTGTAAATCTCCATTTACAGCGCCATCGTAATTTTAGGATGGTCACTAAATAAGAGGTCAATAAGTGAGGTCTACTTTTATTACTATTAATGCGTTTTTATTCTCTGGAAAAGGAATTTGTAGAATTATGAATCATCCATGAAGAAATAAGTTAGTATTTTGTGATCATTTTGTGAGATGGGTACCCTGCAAAGCTGTAAAGGATGGGGAAAAAACCCCTAAACATAGTGTCTGAATGAAGCAAAAATAAACAAGTGTGAGTAGCCATTCCCATCCTGAAGCTATCCAGAGAATTTGGTTTACAGGTCCCCAAATTTCTATCCAGTAGGCCCAGTGGAAAATGAGTGGAAAAACAACATCACAAAAAACAGAAGGCAAAAAAACATTGAGCTGTATTCCATAATAAATGGAGCAAAAAAGACATCAACATTAGCATACAATTGAAAGCGTGATTTAATAAGAGTATTCGCTATTCCCAACTATTTTGTTAAAATATAAGGACCACCCAAGCAACTTTGCAACTTATATTTTAAATTAAAGTATGGTTAAGACAGAAAATCATCCGTGGAAGGGCGTTTTCTGTTTTGCATGCATAACTTAACTGCTTAGTTTTGGGGGAAAGTACCAATTGAATTTTGTGAAGTCTCCTCAGAAGAGTAACTTTTTGATTCTTTTTTTTAAAGCATCCAGATGAAAAAAGGCTGGAAGGGCTATCCAAGCAGCTAGACTGGGATGTGCGCAGTATTCAGCGCTGGTTTCGACAGAGACGCAACCAGGAAAAACCAAGCATTCTTAGGAAGTTCTGCGAGAGCCTGTAAGGAATTCTTTTCCTCCTCTTTGTTTCTATTTTTCCTTACTCAAGTCTCGATGGAAGAGAAGTCTCTTCATCTCAAGTTGCATGGATTTTTGGGGATATTATATATTGTTTATTGAAGCGGATAAACTCTTTTCCCTCTTTTCAAATTGACTTTTGTTCCGTATAATTGAAACACATTTTCTTTGGAAGCATAGATGTAAGTTACAGCTCTCTAAACAAAATTGGAATCCAATAGAATAAGGATGTCGCAGGATTTATTTCCCACATTTAAACACAGAATCAACTATTATACAGAAATTGCTGTAAAACTAAAAAGTAATCTTCAGTCACTCTTAGCAGAACTTCTATGATCGAGTAGTGTGGCTGCTGTGATTTTACAATCCGTAGAGTCAACGGAGACAAATTTTCTGTTTGTTTTTTAATTCATTTCATTGTTTTAGATTTAGAGGCTTTAAAGGGCAGAAAATCAAGACATAAAGTTCCTGTCAAAATTTAAACTTCTCTTCTGAATCAGACTGCTCTCAGTCTCTAATGCCAGGATGACATTAACTCGCTTCCTCTACTTAGATGGCAGGACTTAATGTTTATTCCTTTCTTGTGGAAAAAAATCCTTCCATTCAATCTTATGCTCTGAATCTGTAGAAAATGGCAGTTTCCCACTGGATCCACGTATTTAGAGAGGAAGGATGATGGCCCTGACCTGTCCCCTGACAGAATGCAGAAATCATTGCCTTGGCCAAAGAAGCATTTTTTAAAAGTCCAGAATGAGATACTGTTTGGATGCAGCTCAGACAGATGCCTCTCTGATCCACTGAACTATAAAAAGCAGACGTACAGTGCAATCAGACTTACAAAAATCTCTTATAGACTATCTCAATAAAGATGCTTTTAGCCTTCATTCCTGGACTACAATTTCACTTGGTTTGCCAGATCTGTTAGCTAAAGACTATTTGACAGATCCCAGCTAAGGTGTATTTCAATGTACCATTGAATCAAAACTATCTTGAGACAGAGATTTTAGAGAAGATGGTAATTTAAGAGAACTAGAACAAGTCATTGGTACTTTTTTTTTTTTACTGTCTGCAAAGATTTTTATATTTTTAACAGGCTCTAGGTAAGGGATAGCTTCTCCTTTACCTATGTATCTCAATAGCATCAGGCATAGCTTGCTGATTTTGGTTTAGTTTCAAAATATGAGCTGAATTTTCAATCAGAATTTTGAGTCAATGCACTCAAGGAAGGAATCTAGGCAGAAGGTGTATTTAAAATTTATTTTGAATTGTAGCCTGACAACGTCAATTGGGGCAAACATTATTTTGCCTATTGGCAGTTGGCTGGCAGCAGTCTTTCTCATTCTGAACCATCTAGAAGCTCTTAGGCATAAGTGGCTGAAGAGCATGACAGAAAAATAAAGGGTGATGAGGGTGTTTCACATCCATCTGTATCTGTCTGGCTTAAATTAGATGAGTCAGGGACAGGATGCTATAGCGTTATCTATAAATGCACATACATGCATAGACCTTTGTGTATAAAGCCTTGTGAAAATGCTTGAAAAAAATACAGGTCTAATGGTGTTTTTAAATATTCAAAGTACCACACACACATCTTAAGCATGCTAGTCCACATATAAAAGCCTTCTAAGGCAGAAACTCAACATTATAGGGCTATGATACTTAAAATAATAAAAGAATGTTTGGAACACATGCACTTATGAATCAAACAAGCTGATTGCCAGAACAGCAGGAGTTGCATCAGATAGTTTCATTCTAGGCTGGATCACCCTGTGATTGCATAATAATAAGGTCTTCTTCATGAAATGTGCAGGGCCATAACTTGTGTGCAAGCTACAGAAATTCCAGATTGTTCCTTAATTATTCAGTATGTCTTTAGGTTGCCCTGCCAGAAAACGGCTGCTTTTTCATGTGAACATTCTTGCTAGTTTGCTTCCTGCCAAGTGACCTGAAAGACAGCAGAAGAGAGCTGAAAATCTAATTTATATGTAGCCATTTATAATCAACAGTAATTGTCCAAACATACAATTCTTTTACAAGTCTTTAAACCCAATCATTTTTGTCCCATGTCTTCAAGGGAATTTAGCTTTCATTAACACAAGCCAAACTTACCAGTTACTTGCACACAAATATAAGAAAAAGAAAAACAGAACTTAGAGAAGATGGTACTCCTTCTATCTTCCTCTGTTGCTGTTTTTTCCATTATCATTAGCTTGACATTAGCTTGCCCTGCCAATGTTGATGGGATGTAGTTTTCTCCTCAATATTTCCTTGATTAGGGTATCATTTTCTTCTTGATTGTCTGATGTTAATCTCTGCTTGAGAGGATGTACTCTGGTCTTTTTGTTTCTGTAGCTTTTTTAAATACTATATAAGTGTGGTTTATCTCCAATGAGTCCATTGATGGCTAATTTGCCTAATGCCAAGCCACCAGGAATTCCTTAACATTTTTGGATTTAGTTTGGTCTAGGGTGATCACAGTTTTTCACTTGGAAAACTTCGTGGTTTTTTTGTTTTTCTTTGAAAACTTTTCATGTCTCAGATGAGAAGTGAAATGTTTCCAAGGAAAAACAAAGAAAGTCCAGTTATCTTTTTTTAAAAGCACCTTTGGGACAATCATGACCTAGGTGACTGAGAATAGACAGTCTGTCGAAGTGTTGTGAAATCAAGGAGTTTTTAATCATGTTTTCTGACTTCTAGTAGTGCTCAGCTAATCTTCTGTCTGTCTGCCCTATTTAGTGACTGTTACACTTTATTACATTCAGGGTCAAAACAAATAATAAAAGCAAACAAAAAATGAAAGCTAAAACAGAATCTCTGAAAGAAACTTGTCTGACTGATCAGCTTATTTAATTCAGTTCATTAAGCTACCACATTACCTGGTCAGTTCGTTTTCTTTATATTTTCAAAAACTAGAAGCAATTATATCAGGATGGGAAACTGTGGTCCAATTGTTTTTTGTTGGCGACTGCGACCAGCACGTCATCAAAGTAGGGCACCACTCCTTTTATTCCCTGGAGAAGTCTTTCCATGAGGCTTTGGAAGAGTCCTGGTGTGATGCTGACTCCAAACTGGAGTCGGTTGCATCGGAATGCCCCCTGGTGTGTAACAGTCGTTTGTGCCTCGGCTGTTTCGGCGTCGACCGGCAGTTGCTGATAGGCTTGTGCCAGGTCAAGCTTCGCGAAGACCCGGCCTCCCCCCAGTGAGTGTAGAAGGTGCTGTACTACTAGGACGGGGTAGGCGCTTTGCTGCAGGGCATGGTTGAGGGTGGCCTTATAGTCACCGCAGATTCTTATGGAGCCATCCGGTTTGATGGGGGTGACTATGGGTGTTTCCCAGCGGGCATTATCAATTGGCTCTAAGACCCCTTGCGTGATGAGCTTGTCTAGCTGCTCATTGATTATGGGTTTGAGCGCAAATGGCACTTGCCATGGTTTGAGGCGGATTGGGGCGACGTTTGGGTTAAGGTTGAAAGAAATAGGGGAACCTTGGTAGTTGCCTAGGGTGTCGTCGAAGACTTCCTGTAAGTCCCTCACGAGCGCCTCTTCTCAGTCTGCCTCGTCTGTGTGGTGGATGCCTGTCACTTTGATTCCCAGCGGGGAAAACCATTGCAGTCCGAGTAGGCTGGGGCGGTCCTTGTCTATGATCATGAGTGGCAGTACCTCAGTGTGGCCTTTGAAGGTGATCTTAAAATGTCCGATGCCGGCTACAGGGATGCGGTTTCCCTGGTAGTCCTTCAGGGTCAGTTTTTGGTCGTCCAGTTCACGGCAGATGGTAGGCACTAGGCGCTTGATTGTGCACCAGGAGACCATGGAGAGGTAGGACCCGGAGTCCACTTCCATTTCGCAGGGTTGGTCTTCGATGCCTACCTCCACATGTACCTTCCGTGCATCGATGGTTGAGGAATGGCCGATGATGACCATCTGGTGGGTTTCCTCTCGTCGCTGTGCCTCACTGAGTCGTCTGTTCCTGCCGTCGCGGCTCCATCGGCTCTCGGCTTGGCGGTCTCGGTTTCTGGGGGAGGGCGTCTCGTTGTTGGGGTTTGCTGCCTCATCGCTGGGGGCTGTAGTTCTGCTTGTTCCGGCACACCTTGGCGATGTGGCTCCGCTTCTTGCAATGCTGGCAGATGGCATCGAGAAAATGGCATTTGGAGCGGGGGTGATCGCCGCCGCAGCCAGCACACTGGAACCCTGACTTACATCCCCTCCGGTCCTGTTGATCGCATTCTGCCTGGAGCCGGTGGATCTCCTCCTCCTCCTCGTCGGTGTTGGAGTGGGAGTTGACGTCGCCATGGTGGTGGTCGTTTCTTGGTGGCTGGTTTCTGCGGGCCTCGCCGGTGCTGGGGTCGTCTCGCTGGTCGTCGGTCATTCCGTTGTGTTCGCCTGCCTCATCCAGGCTGCCGATTTGAGAGTGGCTTCTGCTGCAGTCGCCTCAGCGAGGGTATCGGCGAGGGAGATGTTGCCCTTGGCCATCAGCCGGCTTTGCAGCAGGGGGTCTCTGAGCCCGAGGACAACTCGGTCGCATAAGGCCTCGTCCAAGTCGGTAAACCCGCACAGGCCTCCAAGGTCCCTCAGTTGGGCCACGAAGTTGCTGATGGCTTCACCCTCGCTCTGGTCTCGCCGGTAGAAATCGTGCCTTTGGATGAGGGTAAGCACAGCAGGGGTGTAATGGTGGCGTAGGATGGGCTCGAGGTCAGCCCAGTCCATCTCTTTTACGTCGGTGGGCTTTGCCAACGCTTTGGCCATCTTGAACACTGTGGGCCCGCAGTGTGTCAAGAATACAGCTCGTTTCCTCTGCCCGTTGACATCCTTAAGGTTGCTGCATTCCAGGAACATCTGGAATCGGTCAGTGTAGGATTCCCAGTCCTCAGTGGCTGAGTCGAAAGGAGCGGGTGGCGGGGTGCTGCTGGCCATCTTGTTGGTCGTTTCGCTCCATTTGCCACGTGCTTGGTGGTCTCTCGTCTCACGATCCCACCTTCATCGCCAG